GCCCCGCTGCAGGCCGGGGAGCGGGAAAGCAGCGGCTGCGGCTCCTCCCCGCCGCCGCGCCAAGGGCAGGGCCAGGGCAGCGCCTCGCCCGGCCCCTCGGCTTCAGGCTGCTGCCCCGGAGAGCCGAGAGTCTGGTGCGGTCACAGCGCCTCAGCTGGGAGCGAACCGCCAGCGTGATTAACCTCGCCCATGGCCACTCAGAGCCTGCTCCCGCCGCTGCTTCGCTCCGCAAGCAGGCAGGCTTCGTGGCGCGCCCCCCCCCCTTCAAAAAGCGAAACCTCTTTTTAAGATCGTAAAACACCGCCTGGGCTGCAGAGCCTTCCCCCTGGTTCCCAGTCTATGGAAAGGGCGAAGATACTCAGGGCAGGAGGGAGGTGTGAGCAGCCTCGGAGCAACCACCAGGCTGCTGAAGCCAGGCAGAGGACACGTATTGCGGATAGATAAGCTGCTGCCTGCAACACCAGGGCTGTTTAAGGTTTAAAGGTTTCGGGTTGAGTAGTTATACAGTAACTCCAGGCACCAGCAGCTTGCTCTGAACTGTGCGCACGGGGATATGAAATTATTTGCTCTCTCTAATCCTGTGGAATACTGCAGCGTTTATACTCAGGCTCTGTGAGAAACCATGAGAAAGACTGAGTTTCCAAGTTATTTCGTAGGCTATGCCCATAAAGCTTCACAATTCAGTTTTGAGATAAAAGTTGGGAGGGACCTGTTGAGCCCTTGCATGCCAGGGTGTCAATACTGAACCTGTTCCTTTTCCCTGAACTGAGTAAAACCACTTGCCTGGCGGTGACTTTCAAGTTAGTCATACTTGTTTTTACACCAGTCACACTACTAAGGCCCAGACACATTTTACATACATTTTGAACTCACGGGGATGTGTTTCCAATATTTCATTACCCAGCGACAAAAATCAGTAGCTATCTGAGATGTCTGAGAAGGTGGAAAGGTGCAGTAATGTGACAGCAGCTAGCTTTACAGTTCTTGAATGCTTGAAATACTTTGAAACAGCTTTGAATAAAAAAGGTGCTATTTTCCCAAAGAGCAAAAAGAAACCTTTTCATGAATCCTAATGATTTTTATAACTATTTGAATCCTGATTGTTTTTTAGCAAATAAAGTAAAATTATTATTTGTGAATTTTTTTTTCATTTTAGACCCAGTTTTCTTTGTGCCATTGAAAAGGCATGTCCTTTTACTACTGAGGATTACTTGCATGAGTGAGACATGTTGAATCATGAAACCACAATGAAGAAAACGTTTCTGATAAAAGCCTGCAAAACAGAACATAATATTCTACTTTGAAAGCTCCATTTTTGGCTTAAAATATATGCAATAGAAAGCATTTATGTTAAACTATTCTTTTTCATATTTAGCTCATAAATAAAAGCATGTTTAATTGTGATTTAATCTAATACCGCAGCTCAGTTTAGCAACTTGTTTTACAGCAGATAAAAAAGTGTAATTTTGATTCTTATTTAAAATGAAAAATTAATAAGGATGCAGCTAACACAAGCTAGAGCAATTTATCTTACACTAATTGAATTGGGCCTTAGGCTTACATGAAGATTAAGCTATGCATTAAAGAGAAAAGTAATGTGAAAGGGCACACTTGCCTAGCGTAATGATACAAAGCTGTGTTATAGTGCCACCTACTGGGTTGAGGACAGTATTACTTTTTCCTTTCTGAAAATCTTGTGGTTTGTTCACTGATTTCTGATATAAAAGTGCCTGCTTTTCAGTAAGATTTACAAATAGCATGCATTAATACACTGGCAGGATGAAAGTGCATTATCTGAGATAAACCCGCGACTCTTGCTCCAATACTTTGACATTAGCCTCAAGTAATAGAGTAGCAGAGTAATAGTAACAGAGAGTTGAAAAAGGCATCATCTCTGAACCAGGCGTTCTTGCGTTTTGCATTTCTTTTTGTCTCAGACTAACACAGCTACCAAATACATTGCTCGAGTAATTTACGCTTTTGCTTTGGCAATAGGATGCTATGACCTGGTAATATGTAAAGTTATAACCTTGCTTAAAGGATGCATTGCATCTTTTCACTTGCATGTTTATTTTAATACCCTGTTATCTATATACAATAGCAAGGAAAGACAAATCCATCAAATACAAATTGAAATGTGTTTATTTCTAAAAATGAAATTGTTCAGAAAATAAAAGAGGTGATCAGAGACAGCACATTTTGTTACAGAGGTTCGCAAGAAGTCTCCAAAGGTCAATAACAATGTCACCAAAACATTACACTGCACATCATCAGAAGACTGCTATCAGATTTACCCTAGTTTGCATGGGCCTGCCATCCCTATTCTTCCTGAGTACTGCCTCATTTTATAACACTACTTGTGGAGTGGGCTGCAGAGTGAGTGAGTACACATGACGTCCTCAGGTGCTAGATGATATGAACTCCTCGTTTCAAATACTATGCTCTTCATTCTGGAAAGTTCCTCAGTCACCCATGACAGCATATTACAGGAACACTTAGGCACTTAAATGTCTAAATGATGCCTTTTTTTGCCACAAAACAAGAAAACACTTAAGAGCAACACAGTCTGGTACTGTGGCTGCCTCTGGTTAAAATTGGAATAAAGATAAAAATCCTGATTAAAAGCTTGTGCGGGCAAACAAAAGCAGCCAGTATTTTTTTCTTAAGGAAAACTTTCAAAAATGAAAAGAGGTTAAGTTAATTTTTGAACACGCTAAGCTATGCTACATGTTGACAAGAAAAAACAAAGTCAAGTATAGAGAAGGAATAGATTGTGGGGTAAAATACAGCAGATCTGCAGGTGGCCTGCACCTGGTTGAATGGAAAATATTAAGTGTAGCTGCTCTGCTTCCTACAGTAGCTCCAATAAACCATGCTGTTCTGAATTAAATTAATAAATGCATTTAAATAAAATGTTCTCCCACAGCAAACTTGACAAAGATTCAATGGACTCAGATGAAAAATGTGTTTTAGCACGTACTATTAAAAAGTTCCTCACAAGATTTATTACCGTCATAAAACAAACGTACCCCCTCCTCCCCAACCTTGAAAGAATTCTTTGTTTACAAAGTAGTAAAAATTGTGCAAACAGCACTGGGATAAATTGCTGTTAATTCATTTTTCTTGGTTATTATCTTTGTTGCAAGCAACACCGTCGAGTTGAAGCAAGTTTAGTATCTTAAAGGAGATGGATAGTCTTTCCTTCTGAATGGTTAATCTTGTGAATTCCACTGTTTTGGAAAACTCTGGAGTTGGAGGCAACTCTTTAAGAAGCCGAGTAACAAGCCGGGCTTGTTCTGATGCTAGTCTTGCCAGTCGCTGGAGTTCTCCTTGATCTGGTGAATTGACATGAGTCTCTGATATGAGCAATAAGAGATGTTTGCTGAGTTGTCTGACACTAGTCAGCTTCTCCGCCCAAAAATTCACTTCTCCTTTATCAAACAGGTAGTCGTCTTCTACCTTAATCAAAAGAAAATCAATGATTGAAACATGTAACAAGAAGTAACTTATCTTACCTAAAGTAACAGTAAATAAGGGTAAAATAATGCGGGTATAAACAGTTTCCTAGGATGCCAGTGACGTTCTACCTTCAAAATCACACCCTTTCGGTGCAACTATTCTTGAAATAGTAGAAGTGAAAAGCAGTCATTAACATTAAATGTGCTTTTTTTCCCTCCCACTGTGAAACTATCCTACATTACACAGGAGCTGTGAACAAATGTTCATTTCTAGTGGTAGAAAATTTCCACTGCTGGAAGTTATTCTGGGAGAGGGCACACTGTAGCTCGGGGTCTTCAACCTTTTCCAGCAGGATATCACTACTGAAATTTAAAGCAACCCAAAACCTGCTCCCCGGATGTTCGGTCTCCTGGAAGAAACTTGAACGGTGATTCTCCCAGCAAAGACTGAGCATCTGTATATGGCTAGGGACCTCTATAAGAGCACGATTGCACATTCTGGAGCTTCTGGAGCAGATTAAATATAACAGAGAAAAAACTGTGTCAGTTAATGAAATGGTAATAGAACATAGGTAAAATACATACCTAAACTGCAAGCTTAAGTTTCATAGCATATTTTAAGGGTCATTTTATCATATCAGTTGTCAGCCAATACTTCAAAATTGAAGCTGCTGCTGCCGCCCCTTCTACTTTACTGCATCATATTTCATTGGTGTTTGCTGGCCTCATATTAACACACAATGTTATACAGTATTGACGTTCTGCAGGCCCATTCCCTTTTCATGCAAATAGTTCTAGTGAAATCAATGGCTTATGAGTGAGAATGAGTTTGCTGTGCTGGTCCCTCAGACTATGTACCACCACATGTTTAACCATCACACTTGAAAGCTCAGCTGAAACTATGAAGCCAACTGACAGCAGCAGGGGCACTGCGCTTGATCTCAGGAAGTACTGAGGCCCTTTACAACAATCTGAGGAGTAGGTAATCAAGCCCTATATCTTTGAAATGTTGGGTGTCAACTGATACATTAAAATCATCCCTGAATGTTGGTGCTGACATCAGTGAGACTACTTATGTAAGAGGACTGCAGCTTCACACCCAATTTACTTTCCTAAAGAGACTGTGAATATTTAAAAGAAAATGCGAGTGCTTTATTTTAAAATGTAAATCTCTCTGATTCTTGAAGTAATGATCACACAGAAGTGACTTTATCAGATTAGAAAACTAACTTCATTTCCCCTCTTGTAAAACAGACATAAAAGAATTTCTGCTCCAAAAAAATTAACTAGTTGTAAGAATTACCAGTGTTGCAGCCTCCAAATTTTTGTTTAGGTCATCCTCTCCTAATAGCCACTCCAGTAAGACTGGTACGCCAGCCCTGGTTTCATTCCACAGCTGAAGCAGCTCACAGATTATTCCAAATGCTAAATCCAAGGCCATTGATGCATTTACTACATAAAACACGGGAACTGTAGACAGGAAATAGGAAGATTAACTTGAAAGCAAACATTTTCACATAAAAATAGCAGGTAAGTTCACTGTCACGTGCATACAGAGGTCGAATTTAGAAAAACAAACTTAGAATACTTGATCACAGTCCGAATGTTTTAGAAACACATGGAAAAATAAAACGGAAGTGGGCTGCCAACCATCAAGTTCAGTTCCTTTTGTTCATAGCCAATCATTTATCCCAAGTCCTAAAGATCATCCACACCAATCCCTTTCACATATTATAGCCACAAAACACCTCATAAAAACAACATGCCACTGCAGAGAAAAGAGTAAGTTAATATAGGCTAAATTTTGGAAGAGGACCATGCCCCATGCCATGGAGCAGGGGTAGGCAACGCCCGGGATGGGTGCCGGAGTGTGGCACACACCTTGGAGTGGACGGCAGGGAAGGGGCCAGGTCTGCATTGCCACAACAGGGACCAGGCCCCTTATGGCTCCCCTGCCATCTGCCCCCGACACATCAACATCTTAGAAGTCGAGGTTGCAGGTACTTTTGGCAGTCTGCCCACAAACAATGTGACCCCTGCCATAGAGGAAGGCAACTGCCCTTCCTATTCCTCCCACCCCCTATTTCCCAAGTCCTTATTAATCTCTCCGGGGAGAAAAATTCATTCCCGCCCTCAAGTCTGGTGACTGCTATGACCTGAACAGAGAAGCAAGACCTTCCAGCCAGGTACTTGAATGTCTGCATACATGGAGAGATTTTAAAATGCTAAGAGCATTAGTGTGCACAGCCAAAATTCCCCATCTCTACCGGTGGCCAATGTCTAATGTTTTAGAGAAGACAAAACAATCACCTCCAAAATAGAACCCAATCAAGTATTCATAAAAGAAAATAATTCCTTCCTGACCTCAAGAGTCAACAACCAGGAGCCCTAAAGGAGTGGTTAGAAATTTTCCAGAAGGTCAGAACAGCTCAGCTCTGGTCTTACACTAGCTGGGTGGCTTTGATAGCAGTTCAGTAACTATGGCTGCTTCTTCCAGTCCTTGCCCTGGCTCTTTGACAGCATGGGCTCAGTTTCCAGCTGGTGCAGGGCTCCACTG